GTCAGAAGAGTACATTTGACATGAGGGAGAATTTCAGCAGGGAAGGAAGGAATTTCGTGTGTGCTAAGCCAGGCACTTGGGGTGGGACTGGGGCACGTCGTCTTTTGTCTCTTCAGCTGATCCGTTCAGGACACCCCCTTCTCTGGTGACCCCTCCAAGCCGAGCCTGGTGCTCAGCAGGTCCTGGCCCAGAGTTTCTTGCTTGGGATGTGGTGTGGGGGGCGGGGCCCGAGTTCACCAACCAGAAGCCCCAGAGCAGGCTTCAGCACAGAGTTGCACACGCCCAGTACCAGCTCTGCCGCGCCAGGCTGGTATCGGCAGGGGGCTTCACTGTTCTGTGCCTCAGTTTCTCATTCTGTATGAGAAGGATAATAATACCATCTGCTTCCTAGTGTTTTTGTGAAGATTAAAGGAAAAAAATGTAAAGGCTATGCCCTATACCTACACCATGGGAAGCTCTCAATAAGAGATAGATAATGATAATGATAAGGATGAGAATATTATAAACTCCACTGATGGGAGAAAGCTTTAGCTGATGACTTGCCATTGCTTGAGACCTAGAGCCAGTGCACATTTTTAGAAAGTGTTCCCTGCGGGCATTTGGCTACAGGGGGGCTGAGAAGAGAAAATGGGAGGGAGACACAGTGGTAGGTCCCTGGCTATGGCCGCTGTTGGGGAGGTCGGCGCAGCCTAGGAGCCAAAGACCCTTCGGTCTGCGACAGCTCCTCCCTCCCCATCCCCACGGGAGGGAGGGAGGGCAGGACGGTACTGCACAGCACACCCTAACTATGGGTGTTCAGACTCTGGCTGGACACATGACCCAGTCTGGGCCAATCAGTTCTCTCCCCCCAACATTTGGATTTGAAGGAAAGGCGAGGGAAGGACACAGCCAGTTGGTCTCTCCACATGGCTGGGCTGAAGCCAGGAGTGGACACAGTCGCTCAGGGTAGCCATGGCCTCTGAGGAATGGAAGGCTGTGTTTGGCAAAGAGACAGAGGAAGGAAGCCAGCTGGCAGGGAGGAGCCGAGATGAGGAGAGAGAGAGAGAGAGAGAGAGACAAACCTGGCGGCTCTCTGGCCACCCTAATCTCCCTGGGCCCAGCCCTTCCTGCTGGCTTGGGGTGAACGGTCTGGAAGACACCATCTGAGCCTCAGGACGAAGTCCTCCCTTTTGCTGAGCGCAGCCCGAGTGGGCGTCTGTGACTCAAAACCCAGGAGCTTAGCCAATACAGCCTCACTTCCAGCCAGGCCAGAGACACCTGTGTGGGCCCCCCACGCCCTGTCCCTGCACCCACAGGGCTCGTACCTCAGAGAAGAGGAGGTGAGGCAGCAGTGTTTGCATTCTGTAGTCCGGGAGCTGCCAAAATCAGGGGCTGCCCTCTGTCTGAGCAGGGGTTGACGCCCAGAGCTCATGCTTGCTCCGATCTGTGTGGTCCTGAGTCATTTCTGAAAACTACAATCCAAGAAAGAGCCCTCACTACAGATGCTTAATAATAACCTAACCATGCTTCATGTTTATGCGGCTCTTTTGACGTGGCATAGATTCCCTGGTCACCCCTCTGGGAAGCTAGCTTACCTGGATTTTCCCACCAGGCCAAATTGGTCTCCTCTGCACCTGGGACATCTTGAGGCTGTTGACTCTCAGAACAAGCAGGCTGCAGACGAGGGCAGAGCACGTATTTCAGAGGGTGGGAAGGTAGGTTCAAATTCCAGCCCTACTCCTGTCTCCACATGTAGCCTTGTGATGCTGTGGACCCAAAGAGCTCAGTACAAAGCCCAGCATTTAGTGAGATCTCAGTGAGTGGCTTTGCTACTAGTACTTTGATTAGAACCATGTCTAGCTAAGCCCAAGCCCAGGCCGAGTCCCCACTTATGCCATGTTGTGTTTCTGTTAAGACTATAGTCATGCCACGCTCATCTGACACAAAACCAGCTGAGGGACCTGGGGCTCTGCTCAGGGACACACACTAGCCTGAGCCTGAGCAGGGGACAGGTAGGAGCTGCGAGCCCAGCCTTAGCCCCTGCCCTAACTGGTCAGTGATTGGCTGAGTTACAGGGGTTCAATGCTCAAAATAGGCTCTCAGAGTCATCTACCAAAGTGTCCCCAACTCAGGGTTCCAGTCTGTCCCCGCAGGGCTCTGACTTTGCTCAGGGGATCGGATCGTGCACTCACACTCCTTTGCAGCCCCCTGCCCCTCCCTCCTGAGTCTGATTTCCAGCACAGGTACCCTGTGGCCGCAAGAGTACCAGGGAGGACTTGGGTCTTCTCAGCATGTTCAGAATTGATGCTTGATTAACCTGAGCCTGAAACTTTCTTTCTTTGAAGCTTCCAGACCAGTTAACAGAGGCCAGCCAACCCCATGGCCCTGAGAGTGATCATTGCCCTCTGCCCTTCCAGTGCCAGAGCCGCCATATAACCTCAGGCTCCACCTTCCACCCACATCGCATCCCAACGCCCCACAGGTGACAATCTCAATAACTGATGCTCAATGTGCCAGAGGTCACCGTTCGCCACCCCCCAAAACAGAGTCCCCACTGCATCTCATCAAGGGATCCAGCCCCACCTGCCACCCTGCAAGGTTGCTCTCAGGGCCATTCTAGTACCGACCCTCTTAGGCCAGGGTCCCCTCAAAGCGGAACCCATTGCAAGAACGTGGGTGCAGAGAGTTTATTTTAGAGGTGATTTTAGTGAGCAGAAACGAGGGACAAATGCAAATTTAAAAAGCAGAAAACCCAACGGTGCATCATCAGGTCACCGCTGTGGGTGACCGAGTCCTGGTGCTGCTGGGACCTTCCGAGCTGTGTATGGAAGGACCCTCCAGCTTGTCAGCAGCTGGCAGGCGCATTCCGCCCTCAGCTCCCTTGCCCCACGGGTTGAGGCTGGCTCGGGGAAGCCAGCTTTCTCCCACACGTCTTCGTGCTGAGCACAAGCCCCAAGGCAGAAAAGGAAACACGCCTGTGCTCACATGAAGCGAGAGGCTGTCAGTGCAAAGCGAGATGGGCCCGCATGGAACTGCTTGTCACATCATGGCTGGAAAAAGAGGGGCCCCTGAGCGCCCGGGAGGCAGTGAACACCGACTCTCAAGTCAGTCAGTCTGGGTTCAAATCCTTTGCTATGCTTCATTTTCCTCCCCTACAATAGGGAGAATAGTAAGAGGAAAATACTTGATTGGGTTGTTAGGAGCTAAATGAGAAAATCCACATTGCCTGGAACTATATAAACCTTTCATAAGAGTGACTTCTAATACCCCCATTTTACGGTTGAGGAAATTAAGATGTAATTTCTAAGGGATAGAGAGAGAGGGGAGGAAGAGGGAGGGAGAGGCTTCATTTAGAATCAGCTCAAACCTCCGGGAGAACGGTTTGCGACTTGCAGAAAGACCTGGTATTTCCAGGCTGAGTCCCTCACCCTCTCCACGTTTCTGCGCCCACTTTCCCTCTCACGCGAGGGGCCCCGGGACAAGAAGCAGAAGCTCTTTCTTCCCCTGAACAAGCGTCCATGTTTTCTTGCTCCTGCTAAAGGGTCCGGAGCTTCCTCCTGATGTCACAACTAGTTGCTATGGAGACCAGGTTGCTGTGACTGTCAGCCTGGGTCCATGAGGAGCGCAGTGATTAGCATCCCAGCTGGGCCCAGGGCGAGAGGAAATGAGGCACCCCGAGAGGTCTCATAAACACCTCTCCCTGGACCCCAAACACAATGGAGCCACCAGCCACACACACACCCCACACAGTTCCCGGGCCCACCCTGCTGGGCTGAGATCCGGCAACACATGTTTGGGAGAAACAACCTGGTCAGCCAGGAGCAGGGTGGCCATAGTCCACATCAGCCATGCTGCCCTTCCAGTCCCTCCGGGAGGGAGGTGCTGCTCACAGGTGGCAGTGGCATTCTGAGCATCTCCATAGCAACGCTGAGGTCAGGCCTCACTGGGGTGACCTCAGTCTGGGGCTACTGGCTTCAGGCTGGGCTGTCATCACCAACAGGAGGAATGGAAAAGCTATGAGGAGTCTCTCCAGGAGAAAAACAGATCTGCCCTCTCAGGGTGAGGGCCCTGGCTGAGTCCCTCCCAGGCTTTCTCCGGCTGAAAGAAGGAGAGGGCCATGGCCTGAGGCTTGGTTTTCCACTGGGCACAGTCGGAGCCACAGGAAGTAGCTTTCTTGCCTCTGAAAACAGCAGACTGGCTCTGTCACCTGCTAGGCATAGGTCCTGAGCAGGGATCTCCGACCCTCTGACCCTGAGCGTGGGGAATGTCTTCTGAAGAGACGGACAGAGGCAGGGGAAGCCCCTCTGGCCTTCTCTGGACCCCAAGGGGACCCTCCCTTGAGGGTTCTGCCTGCCTACCTGCCTCGCCCTGGGCCAGGCCCTTCTCTTGTTCAGAGGCTGGCTGGAGCATCTGGTTATTAGGGGAAGACTCTTTAGGCGGGCTTCTCACCATTCTCTGCTAGACTATCTAAGGAAATAGTTACTCTTCACCTTGACCGCAAAGCTGGGGCCCTTCCTTGGGCTGATGGGCAGTCTGGGAAGGGAGGAGAGAAGCCACAAGCTCTTGTGGAGGCAAAGCCCCCGCCGCCCCTTTCCAGCAGTATGGTCCTGGCACGCCCTGTCCCTGACGCTCTTGTTTGCTCTGGGTTGCTGTGAGGACCAAATGGCCCCATCGTTATTCGCAGCCTTCTTCCCCCACCTGGGCCCCGGATGCCACCTCCGGTCTCAGAGGCCCCTTACCTGTGCTCTACACACCTGTTGCGCCACCTGTTGCTTCGCCTGGGCCCCCAAGGCGGCCGGCTCAGCAAACGCACCTGTCTCATCAGTGCTGACCCCTTTCCTCCTGTCCCTTGCAGTGTGGCGGGCCACCAAAGCCCAGGGCCTGCTCGGTGGTAGGGTCTGTGATGGATACTTGGCAGCATTATTCTTTTAAAGATTTTATTTATTTACTGTTTTAAAGATTTTTAAAATAATCTTATTGTTCAATTACCATTGTCTGCATCTACCCCACACCACTCCTCCCAAAATACGAAACGCTTCACAAATGTGTGTGTCGTCCAGGCACAGGGGCCGTGCTGAGCTTCTCTGCGTTGTTCCAGTTTTAGTTATATGTGCTGCCGAAGTGAGCACTACAGATTTCATTTGTTTATTCTTAGAGAGAAGGGAAGGGAGGGAGAAAGGGAGGGACAGAAACATGTCCCCAGCCAGAGACCAGGCCTGCAACCCAGGCATGTACCCAGACCAGGAATCGAACTGGCGAACTTTTGCTTTGTGGGACAATGTCCAACCAACTGAGCCACACCAGTCTGGGCCCACAGCTGTTATTTATGGAATTCTCACCACAAACCTGCCGGAGAAGAAACACTAGTCCCATTTCAGGGATTTTTTTTTTTTAAACGGAGACTTACAGAAGTAAAATGACGTTCCCAGGGTCATACAGTAACCACAGCTGCCACTTACAAAGCATTTCCCTTTGTTGAAAGGCAAAGTAAAATATTTTGCCAACATTATCTCAGAATGGAGTATGGAAGTTAACTCAAAGCATGAACTCTAGGGCCAGCCTTCCTAGGTTTGATTCCTGCCTCTTAAAAGCTGTGTGTAATACAATTGTGTGTTAATTTTATTTCAATTTTTTAAAGGGCTGTGTGACCTTGGGTAAATTGCTTAACCTTTCTGTGCCTCAGAGTCTTCATCTGTAAAATGAGAGAGTCCCAGTGCTTCCCTCATCAGGTTCTTATTTGGGATTAAATTAAGAATAAATAGTTTACAAGACTACCGAGAATGAAGTGAGTGCTATATAAGTAATATTCACTGAAAATAAAAAGAAAGGCAGGGGAGGTGGGGTTGGGGGAGAAGGAAGCCTCACACCAGTTTTGGGTACATTACTACTGTTGGTTGCACCATAGGGGGTAAACACACTCAGAGAGGTCAGTGAACATACCTGAGGTCACACAGGTTGTGTGCGGCAGGGCTGGGGTTCAACCCAGGGTCGTGGGACCCGAAGCCGTGCTGGTTCTGCCCGGCCAGTACCCCTGCTGGAGAGGACAGCAGAGACCCTGCCGGGGGGGTTAGACAAGGTAAGGTCCACGGGGACTCAGAACCAGGAGGGAGGGCTGCCCGCTGACCCAGGAGTGACCCAGGAACTTGGCTGAGGCAGGAAGACTCAGCGCGGCTAGTGGGGGAGGGAGGGAATGGGGGCCTGGCAGAGGCTGACCAGGACACTGGCATCCCAAGTTCCTGCTCCAGCTGAGTCCAAGAGAAGGACCTGTTATGAGTCGACAGGGCTGCTGACAGAGCTGGGCTCCGCGCCACCTCCCAAAGCCCCGTACTTCTTGCCTAGATTAAGTTTGAGCCCTTGTAAATCCGTGAATTGACTGCAGTTGCTGTGGCGAAGCTCTCAGAGTTAGGAGCTGCTGTGTTTGCTCATTTTCTCCTCCAGGCAGCCTGGGAGAACGGAGGGATGCGGCTTCCCTCGGCCACTCCCCGACCCAAGTCTCAGAGCTGCCTCCCACCAGCTGGGTGATCTTGGACAAATCACTTCCTCTCTCAGGGCTTCCACTTCCTCCTCTGTGTGGTGGGGCAATGACAGCATCTGAGCTTTAGTGCTGTTTTCGGAGATAGAGAACGTTCCATCAAAGGAGATATTTCCAACTCTGTGACCTCAGACGAGGAACTTGACATACCTGGGCCCATGTCACAGGTAAATGATGTGAAGCTGAGAGCCCAGTGCCTGTGCAGGACAGGAGCGGCCATACATGGAAGTCCCATCCTGCCCGCTCAGTGCCCGGGAGCCACGGCTGACCCATAGTCTGCAGAGAGCATGCAGAAGAGCGTGCCTGCCCAGGACGGGCAGGTGTCTTTGTGGTTATCTTTGGGTGAAGAACCAGGGGCCCAAAAATGTCTCTGCTGCTTCCTCAGAGTCTCTTGGAACCAGAAACCAGGCCTTAAGCGATCATTATGGGACAGAGAGTCAGCAGGAACACAGGGGCCGGCAGAAGTGAGGCAGGTTGGAGTGCAGCTGGTTTGGTAATAATGCGTGTGTAATAATCTATACTTTTAATTTGAGAATTTCACCTAAAATGTCATATGGTGTGCTTGAGTGTGATATTGTTATGTTACAGAATTATATGTTTATGATTTTGTGATAATATATTTTGTGATTAAAAAGGGGCATTATTTGTGCCGGCCCCTCCGTATGATCTGGTTTGCACCTTGCTCTTCCTGCAAAATGACCCTGGAAGTGACAACCAGTCTCTGCACAGTTGAAGAGAACTAAGGGAAAGGGGCTCAGACCAAGCCAGAAGGGACCATGTTGACTGCAGTGACCTCCTGAAGCCAACATGGTGGTGGCAGCAAGACAGAGCAGCTAAGTGCGACCCCAAGGGAGCGATAAGACCTGGCAGGGCGTTCCCACAACACATTTTCCTATTCTCACCTCTCAGTCACATGCACACACACGCACCTGCACCCCTCACACTCGTGCCTGAAGATTGTCACGTGACCCAGTCCCCTTGCACCCTCCGTTCTCCAGCGTCACCCACACTGCATGGCCTGGCGAGTTTCCTCTCTGAAGTGCCCTGACGGCCGAGGAGAGCAAAGGCCTCCCAGGGTGGTCTGAGGCCTCAGCACGAAGCAGCCCCCCAGGAGCACAGCCTCCACAGGTGAAAGTGTGGGCTGAGCTTCACCCGCATCATCTCATTTAATCTCCAGGCCAGGAAATGCCTTTGCAGCCTTGTGTTTGAGCATAAAACTTCAGGGCCATTTTAGCCCTTGACAGAGCTGAGCTGCTTTTAACTGAAACAAGACCGAGGCATTTGTAGTTATCGGAGTTCCCGCCAGGGACCAAGCCCAGCGAGGGGTCTTGGTTGCAGGGAGGAGGGTGATAGGGGTGGTGGCAGCAATGGGGGGCGCCAGGAGGGACATTCAAGCAACAGAAGGTGATGCAAGGTGTGGAGCGTGTGGGGAGTGGGGAACCAGGGAGTGAGTCGGGGCAGGATCTAGGAGAGAAGAGATTGAAACAAGCAAGGTGGGGGGCTGCTTCCAGAAGGAGGAGGTGGAGAGGACAAGAGAGAAGGAACCCCCCAAAGCAGCAGTGTCATTGGGGTGGTGGAAGGAAAGGAGGTAACACACCGCGTGCTGTGCCGCTCCCTGCAGAAGCCTCGGACGTCTGCAGAGAACCTCTCGGGGAGTGTGCGTACCTGGGCGCTGTCCCCTGGGCACAGTGCCTTGAGCCTCTGTGGGGCTGGAGTCCCCCCGCCTCTCTTTCCCACTAGATGGCCACATCCCAGCAGGGACGGATGTGTGCCTTCATCCCTGGGCCCGGCCACAGCCCAGAGACAACTGACAGCATCGTCACCAGGGCTGGGGCTCTGACAGGGCTGGGGCTTAGCTGGGCTCCGTGTGGGTGGGTCTGCAGGTTTTACTCTTTGTTTTCTAGGTTGGTTTTATTTAACAAGGAGGTGGCTCAGGTTCAAACCCAGCCTTCACCTGTCCGGTGAAAATGCATTGGCCCTACCCGCCTTTGGCTGGCCCAGTGACCAGCTGAGGTCCTGGGGTCACCAGAGGTGATGAGGGGGCTTCTGGCCTGGCCACTGGATTTTGCTTCCTGGGAGGGAGGCCAGGTTGTTGAGAAGAGGAGGGGGCCAAATGGAGCTCCCTTCTCTCAGCAGTCTGTCCAACTCCGGGCTGCCCCCTGAGTCCAGGGCATTTGAGCCTAGGAAGGGAGGAGAATGGACACTGCAGCCCAGGTCTGTCTAGTCCAGGAAAAGATAGTAAAAGCTGCCACACCGATGCTTCCCGTACCGGAGGCACCAGGTTCAGATTCTGGAAGCTGCTTTTCTCCATTTGGGCAGGAAAGCACCCACACAAACAGAGTCAAGGAGAGGCATTTGCAGGCCACCGCCAGGGGCCTTCTCTGCCTAGACCAGGCTGTGGAGTCAGACTGTTCTTTGAGCAGAGGAGCAGGTAGCAGCCCTGAGGGCCCCAGAGGTTGGCGGACTTTCAGAGATGGCAGACAACGTGGCCCTGGGAGCTTTGGGAAGGCACCGGGGGAAGCACAGCACACTGATAGCATCTGGGCCCAGCTCTGTTGTGAGTCACAGAATTAGCTGATGGAGGGCGGGGAGCAAGGTAGGGGGTGGGGAGAGAAGAGACAGAAGGGGTGTGTCTGAGGCCCGACAAGTCCCCCAGAAGATGGAGAGAGAGGCGTACCTTATAAGGTGCGGAGTGCTGGCCACGCTCTTAGCATAGGCAATAATACGGCACTTACTGTGTGCCGGGTGCTCTTCTGAGCAATTTGCTTGTATTCACTCATGCGGGCTTCACAAACCCAGGGAGGGAATGGAGGCTCAGAGAGGTTAAGTGACTAGTCCACGGTCACCCAGGGTTGAGACTCCAGAGGCTATACTTCTGACCCCTAGGGCAGCCCCTCAGGACGCCGAGTTTTTCGTTATTACTGTGTGGCAGATAAAATAGTCCCCCTTATTTGGGGGGAAACATTCTTCCAAGACCCTCTGAGGATGCCTGAAATCCCGGATGATACAGAACCCTGTATATACTGTTCTTTTTCCTATGCATACATACTTCTGATAAAGTTTCACTTATAAGGTAGGCCATAGCACAGGTAGATTTGTTCTTACTATAGATCTTAGCAATTTTGGTGTACATTTTTTCTTTCCTTCTTTTTAAAAAAGATTTTATTTCTTTCAGAGAGATGGGGAAGGAAGGGAGAAAGAGAGGGAGCGAAACATCAATGCATGGTACTGTTACCGAACAAGAGGTCCAAGGGGAGGACGATATCTGGCCCACCTAGGGATGCCAAATATTGCTACAGAACAGAGGGCCCCTCCCAAGGACGGTATACTAATATCTACTGGGCTCTTCTGTCCGCCGCCAATTGGAAAGACATCTCTCAATGCCAGAGATTTGTGAAAAGGAAAATGAAATGTTTATTTAATGCTATTTAGGCTTAATGCCTCCAAAGTCCTTTAGGGTATACATCTACACCCACACAGCTCCCTTCTCCCACTGTCCCAACTCCGGGTACCGTAAATCAGGAAAAGAGCACACATCTGTGTTTCAGGCCGCTGGTATCGTCAGCTGTGTCACTGTGCAGGCTCTCAGTTAATCCA